TTCTAACATATGGATTGTTTGCAACTACAATCCACCTAATAGCAATATAAGTGGACATTTTCAAGGAGAATGTTCTGGGGAGATGGCTTTTAGTCAGGGAATACCATGAAACCAAACCAGAAATTCTAAGCTTAATCCACCAAAGAAGGAAAAACGTGTTTAAAATCTAAAAATTGTTGTAAAAAAAACTGCTGATAGCAGCATGGAAAAAACTTAAAAAAAAAAGAACAAAATATTTACATACTTAAAATTTATATATAATCAATGAATAAAATAATTTGATTCCTTAGATTTAGGAGGCACATTGTCCTTGAACATGCCCATACCATTGCCGGGAGTGGGATTGCAAACCACCCAAGTTCTATCCGCTCTGTTAAGAAATAAATAAATCAGTTTATTATATAAATATATAGAGAGAGAAAGAGAGGCAGATAAACTCACTTTCTGGGCACACCTGAACCCATCTCTTTGGAGGCCTTCCAGATCAGCTGCGTAAAATGTCCAGCAGTGGGAGCAAATTGTCCCTTGGCAAAGTCATAGCTTTGCATCTCCCGATACCACATTTCCACTGGTAAATCTCCGGACACATCCATTCCGCCGGAAAGGAAAATGTTTTCGCCATACCGGGGATTGGGTCGATGTGCCATTATGTTCTTATCCCGAAGGTGCTGGTAATTACAAAATAAATATATTTTATTATATTTCTAATTATATTTTCCAACCTACATTAGCCCATTCTTGGGCCAGTTTATTCAGCTCAGCATTAATGGTTAAGGCCGGACAGCCATGCATTGCCCTGTACTTATTGGTAGTATTGAAGACCTCCTTTAGGGAACAGTTCATTGTTGCCTCTGGTATCCCTGACCCCTTGGACCCGGAGTGCGCTCATGGGTCTGGGGGTACAGGGGCGCAGGAGATCTCTTGGCCATGTTTTCTCGGGGTTTGGCAAGCGCCCAGGTCCGAAAATCAAAATGTATTTATAGAAAATGACATAAGAGGCAGGGTTAACATTTTAACTTCTTAAAGTATTTTTAAAAAATAAACAAATAAGTGGGTGTGTGAAACCATTTACTAACCACTGATAACCCTTTCCAGCTCCCCCACATAATCTGGCCTAAACATCGGGATTAACATTGTGATTGATACCGCAAACACAGGATGATGCGGGTGATGGAGGCAAACACATCCATAGACACAGATTAGACAGACTGTCAAAAGGGGACTACCTCGGTGAGATCCTGCCTCACGCACATTCTCCTTGGATCTGACGAATGGATTAACCAACGTGACGTATGAGTGATGTATGAACGTCGGCTTCGGTTATTAATGAGCCAGCTATTCTTTCACATATCCAGCCATATGCTTCCATTACGTAAAGGATATACATATATAGGCAAATCAGGAAATCGGAGTGGCATTAATTGCCGATTGAGTCGATCTGAATAATGGGAGTTGGCTGACATGGTGGCTGCTTATCAAAACGCCCGCAGCTCTAACTACCGATGTGCAAATTTCGATGTTGAAACACTCCGAACATTAAATTATTTAAGCGTTAATGTCTGTGTGTGTGTGAGTGGGGGGGAGAAGGTGTGGAACACTGGGCAAGTGTGAATCCTTAATGAGTTGTGCAAATGCAAATCAATGGTCCGACTGATGCCGCTGCTCTCGGCAGAGATTAAGCCAGTATTCCGATATACTCGTACAGATATATCCGCAGGACAAGCTGATATGCTAAAATTATCCTGTTTGCCGGAAGGTGGATGAAGGGTTTGATATACTCTCATGTAGCACACATTAAATTATGGCCCAGCTCATAGATTTATTGGGGATTTATGTACGAAGTACTCTAGTTGATGAGACTAAGCTTAGTAGTTTTAACTTTAATAAGTACTAAAATGATAAAGAGATTAAAATGCATTTCTATTTATAGGTAATTTATTACCAAATTGTAATTATTACTATAATATTCTGAATATTCACCACCATTGGGCTTGGTTCTAGCTCCTTTTCCGTTACCATTTAAGTCCCAAATGGAAAAAACTTTAAGCCTGACAGGCTTAATTTCAGGTTTCCATGGCTTCTGCCTCAAAATGTGATCCACAGCGGCGTCATCCGAACAATGCACAATTCTGAATGGCGGTGCCAGCGGAGTGGAGATGAGTGTGTGGTTCAGTGGTTCAGTGGTTGGGTGGTTCCATGGGTGGTTGAACGGCTGAATTGTTTGGGTTGTAAACTGGCCGCAGTCAAAGCGTAAAACGCATAGCGCACACGTTACTTTGCTGTCGATTTAATTAATTTCGCAAATTTGGTTTCGTTTATTTATGCAGTTATGCTTGGCCAGTCCGGGCATACAGTGCGCGCCATACACAGAATAAATACACGCACACTTCCACTGTTCTGCATGCGGGCATTATACACTGTCCGCTATATAGGCTCTGGTATCTGGACAAACAGGTTTCGGATTTCCATCGCACCCAACTGGTTGCATATGACAGCCGCACTCACCCACAACCATCTGCCGCCGGATGCACTCGATTGCACATACGGATGCTGCCTTTAATTCCGATTCCCATTGATACGTCATTGGTCATGTTTTGGCATAAAGGAAGTATCATCATGCAAAAAATCATACAAAACCCAAGGCTTAAAGGTGCATAAAAAAAGAGGAGAGAAGCTTTGTAAATGCGTTGTCCGATTGAAAGTCAAATAAATCTCTTTATTTGCTGGCAATGATTGCAGGTTTTTTATATATATTTTATAGTATTTATCAATATATAACAGTTTTGTAACAATTATAATTATTTTGTGGAAGTTAAAACATTAATAAAACCATAAAAGGCGGAGTTAGGGGAGCATCCTAAAAGTATGCAATGTACAACATGAACCATATTTTTTCCGCTTTTGCCAACAGTTTAAAATTACAGCCACATTAACATTAAAAATAAATACACCTTTCAATATCTCATTCACTTTAAATCGCTCAACAAAGCCTGGCCGAGAGTTAATAAATAGCTTTTCCGTTTTTCCACTTTCCGCCCACCTGGAATTCAATTAGTCCGATGCCATTCCACTTACCTTTGACCCTCGGTAATGTCAATTAACGATAAACTGCAACTGCTGGAATAAGTCTGTGTATAAAAAACGAACAAACAAAGCTGATTCCATGGTCGGAGAGCTCCTTGATACCCGCGAAGGGCAGTCAAATGGAAATTTTCCACCTAAACGACATAAAATTTGCTACCAAATCGGTTTATGGCAAAGCGAAAAGTTTCTCTCAATTTTTCCACCACTTTCCCATTTTTTGGTTTGGTTTTTTTTCTCTCTCTACTGGCGGGGATTGCTATCGAGCGACTTAAAACTACAAAAACAACAAATTTTTTGGGTTCGCTTTTGTGAACCGCATTTCCATGGACGACTTTTTTCGGCGTAGAAAAATTTTTGGAAATTGCATTTGCATGTGTGCGATGGAAAAGTCTGGCTGGCAGTCATATTTTGCGCCTTCCGTCCATAAAAGCTAAAATGTTTGCGGCTCAAAGGCGAAAGGCGGCCAGAGAAGAGCTAGATGCGAAAGTGGATTACGAACGGTGGCCGACGTCGCCAAACTTCAGGACTCTGCTCCTGAGCTACCTTCTATTTTAAGCTACTAGTACACTGGGAATAAGAAAAGTTACTCTTTTGTTAAGAAAATCTTTTGATTTAACTTGTATTTTCACATTCATGCATAACTCTAAGCTTTCTTTCATAATTTTTGAAAAACTTACCTAAGAAACTATAATTCAGAGGCTAGAATGCACTTTTTATCATATTCACATGCAAATTTCTTGCAGTGTAATAAACCCCAATTGCACCACTTCTGATCCCCTGCAATCTGGCTGTCATACTGTCTCCATCCATTTTGGCCATTGCACAAAACAGAAGGTGAGTCCTGGGCTCCATGCACCTGTTTGCCAATTCCTGGGAGCCTGTTCGCAATGCCACCTCCTGCACAGAGGGAAGGGGTGGTTAAGTTCCTAGGATTGAATGTTAAAAGGGGGGAAAAGCATGTCTGAGTGCCCCTCTTTGTCTATTCAATTGAGCGGGTTACACTGCCATGGAGATCGCCTTTCCTCCGGCTAAATGGTCCTGTTCCCTTTTTCCTCCTTTTTTATTGGCTTTGGCGTTCTGATGCAATAAACTTGGCTGAAAGTTCTCGCGTCAATCGGTGGTGGGGATTTTTCCAACGCCGTCGGCGGGAAAAGTGAATGTGAAAAGTGCGTGTATGTGAGGGCAGCATGATGATTCTGCTGGAAACGAGATGAATGGCATTGGATTTGAAAACTATAAGCCGGAGCTTAGTTTAAGTATAAGCCAGAGCTTAGCTTGAAGTATATGGCTGGAAAGGGGAATATAAGATGGTCAAGATGGTAAAGTTAGTAAAAACACTAAAAAGTGCAGATACTTAAATTAAAAACAAAATTCATAAAAATATGAAAAGAGAATTTATATTTTTCCTCTCAAAACTACATTTTTTACCCCGAAAATCAAGCCATTTGAAAGGCCTTCATTGGCTGCAACGGCAGCTGCCAGTTTTTATTATGCTCATCAAATGGTTATAATTCAATTTTTCCAATCGAGGAAATCTCAGCACGATTCGCTGTTCGCGTACGTTAAATAAATGGCAAGGGTCATAAGCACCACGGGGACACGCCCCCAAAACGACCACCCCGCCCCATCAGAAATCCCAGCAATTTCCATGGGATGCCAGTTCCCGAAACGAGTGAAACAATCGTCCATTTTCAAGTTGGGCCATAAATCATTGTACCATTGCATTTGGTTGCATTGAAAGTTTCCATTTTCTCTTTGCCTTTTCCCTTTTCCCTTTTGCCGTTTTTCCATTTAGTTTTGTTCGACTGGCTGGAAAGTGGAAAGCAGAGAGAGTTGACAATGCCACATTAATCATACGCACATGCAGGCAGGCCAAAATGTTTCTTTAAAAGCCCAAGAAAATTTGCTGACGTTTATTAAAACAATAAACAAATCATGCTGTTGCATAGGCAACAAACTAAAGGAAAATAAAAATAAGATAAATGAAAATGGAAAATGGAAAATGGAAAATGCAATCCCCACCACACACATAAACATGTGGCTCACGTACAGGGCATAAATATTTTAATTCTAGCAAAATTTTTGCTGATAGTTTTATGGACTTGCCAACGAGACATGTGCCGAGCTTAAGGATCTAACCAAAAAAATGCATTTCTATTTTTATTTATTTTTTCTCAGCCGTTGACTGGCAAATAATTTATGTGCCTGCCTTGCATTTCAATTTATTTCACAATTTCCGCTCAGAATAACCAAGAATATACGAAAATTCAGTGAAAACCGATGAAAAGTTAAAATTATGATGGGAGCCAAAGGTCTTAAGTGAATAAATGAAAATCAAGTGGGTTTTCTGTTAAGCATTAGATACCTATCAAAGTGAATTTAGTAGGTAATTGAATCAAGGAAAAACCCGTTGAGATTACTGTATGGCAGCAGTCTTAGCAAAAAAGATGATTAGATTATTTTATTCATGTCAACAGGACTCGAGTCCTTTGTGCATTTCCCGCGCACACACTCGACAAGCTGACTTCCCCCAAACTAATTTGTCAAAAAATAAAGTTCACAAAGAAAGTTGTCAAAGAAAATGCAAGGACCCGGCGAAGCATAAAATTTAAACAAACATATGTAAATATTTGTTTACTCTGGCAAATAGTTGTATTTTCTTTTGCCATTGCCTCCCCTCGAGAGAGTGAAAGGAGAGAGCCCTGTACCTTGTCAGCTGGAGAGTTTCCCCCTTTACTTTTTACAACTTTGTCTGGGTGAAAAAAGAAGATGGAGGATCCGGGAAAAATTTCGATTACCCACTTCAACCCACGTACTCTCTCTCTGTGCAGCATTTCCTCCAGTT